ACTACAACAGGGCCATTGAGCTGGATCCAAACTTTGCCAGCGCATTTCGCAACCGGGGCAACTCCAAGCACAGTGTTGGCAAATACGAGGAGGCCATTGAGGACCACAACAAGGCCATTGAGCTGAAGGCAAATGATGCCATCGCATTCCGCGAGCGTGGCAACTCCAAACACAATCTTGGCAGGTATGAGGAGGCCATTGAGGACTTCAACAGGGCCATTGAGCTGGATCCAAACTACGCTATGTCTTTTTGCATGCGTGGGAGTTCGGTGCGATTGCTGGGCAACCATGAGGCTGCCATCAGAGACCTTGACAAGGCCCTTGAGCTGGAACCAGAGAATGCCCTTTTCTTTCGAAGCCGCGGTGATTGCAAGCAGGCCATTGGCAAGCACGAAGCTGCGATCGAGGACTACAACTTGGCGATTGAGCTGAATCGCGACGATGTCATAGCAGTTGCTAATCGCAGCTTTTCGGAGTGCGCTCAAAGGAAACTCGACAAGCCGCCGATAGATGTGGAACTCGTGTGGCTGGTGGAGAAGCTGAAACAATTGCAGAAGGAAGTGAATCAGCCCATCGATTGCTTGCTCAAGCAGGTGATGGAACAGACATTGGATTTTGATGAGGTCCCGGGCGCAGTGAACTCTAACCCAAACATGCAGTTGCTGCCGCCCTCGCAGTTGGACCCGACATCTGACAGCGGCTCCTCCGTTTGTTCGTCAGGCTCATGGATTGATGTGGGTTCTCAAGGGTCTTGCTGCTTCCTCCCTGACACCTATTTCACCGTTTTGATGGAGGATGGGGAGGTTCTTACGCCTGCCCGACGGCTATTCCAGGGTGCCAACGTCGTTGCAGCCAATGGACGAACGACCGAGGTGACTTTTCCGCCGGAGCAACACCAGGTCCATGCGGTGATCGAGCTGCAGGCAGGTGATGCTTTTCTGGTGGTCAGTCCAGACCATCGAATCCTGGTGCCTGGAAACGTGACGGTCCAGGCACAAGACTTGCATGTAGGGAGCGAAGCAACTGGACTTGATTCAACGATTCAACATGATTCCACTGATTTTTGTGCTCAATTGTCGGTCAGCAGGGAAACCTTCTCCATCTCCAAAATACTGCAGGTCAACGAAGAACTAAAAGACTGTCAGACCAGAATGTCATTTTCTGTGGAGGGGCTGTAGCTGCTAGCTAGGTGAATAGCATAGCCTGCCACATCCATGTAGCCTACCGTCCCAGTCAGCACAGACTTGTATAGCGATCGCACTGCAGGCACCTCCAGGTGAACGACGAAATCCACAGTGTTGGCTAGCTTATAGTCCCCGTAGCCCGCATAGACCCTTTGCGCAGCCATGAGTTCGAGCAAAACCAGCGCAAACCAAGCATTGCTCAGGTGATTCTGGATGGCAACCTAGCCGCCCTCACATCCTTGAAGTGGAAGGTCGAGCCAACCATTGTGCTGAAGATAGGCTTCAAACCAGATCTTCCAGTGGCCGCATTTTTGCGTCCCCCAGCCATTTTGAGTAAAGGCTTTCGTCAGAAGCCTTTCCGTCGTGGTATTAGAAAGAAGGCTTCGACCTTCGCGCAAGGTGACGACGCACTCACCATCCTCACCATGCCAGATACTGAAGGGTATTTGACAGACTAATTCATTTAGATAGTTTGCACGGTGGAGCAGCCGTGTTTAGGAATTGAGATTGCTGCATTTGTTTCCGAAACTTGTGCGTGTGCCGGTCCTTATGATGTCTAGCGGAACGCCGCACGGTTTAGACGTGTCAGTTTCTAGGGCGTCAAGACCCATGATTTGTCTTAGCGCACGCCCCTTTGTTGTGCCTATGGCAGATCACAATCCTTGGACATTTTACGAGATTCTGGATGTTGCGAAGCGGTGCAGGAATCTTTGACAAGGAACAGAGGGCCTTAAACAGCAGAGTGCCTTAGAATCTTAGGACAGCCAGGACCCTTTTCCAAACCACTCTCAAAGCTGCCCGCCGCGAGGTCTACTGGCCTGAAATTTTTAAGTAGGGCCTGGCTGCGCGAAGATCCGCAGACATGGTTGCTAGTAGTAAATGGTTCGCACGTCTGTGCATTTTTTTTTGAAATCACTCAGCCTGGTGCACAGCAGTCGGAGAGATTAATGTGCATTTGGCTTCGATATTGCAGGAGGCCGTGAGGTGCTACAGCGAGGCCCTGGAGTTGTCTTCCGAGCTCGGGCCGAGCATTTGGCGCCAAGGCTGCAATGCAAGTAGCTGTTGGGTTCGTGGTCAGACGACTCTTTGTTGATTGCCTAAGCGGATTCTCGGCCTTGTGAGTCAAGGTGCAACCGCGCGTTGGCCTATCTGCAGATTGAGGCTGACTGAAGACATTTCTCCACAAATCTCTACAAGTCTCCTCCACCCCAGGAAGTATTCAAATGTATTCAATACATTTCAAACAACTAATCAATGAGTATTAATTAGGTTGTGAAGCGGCTTCTGAGTCAATGGATGGGTCACGGTCAATTGCCCGGTTGTAGAACCGCCTGATGATTTGGAAGGGTAGCTGTGGCCGTGGCCAGGAGTGGCAGGCGGCTGACGCCGATACTTCAGCAGTGCTGGCCAGCGAGGTCGAGGCAATGGCATGCAAAACGATAAAGGGATGACTAGCGGCTAGCGATGGCCTCCAACCTAAGAGCGATGGCCTCCATCCTAATAATGAAGCAGTCAGTGAGCGATCGCTTGATCTCCAATTGCATGTTTTGTGCTCACCAATGGATATCGACCGCCGCTCATATCATCAATGCACTGATCACCACATAACACCTCGACATCAGAGACTCTGGACTCCCACTTCCGCACCTTGCCGTGGAGGAGAAGCTTCGGGTGAAGGCCCTCTACCGCCGCGCGCTGGCGCGGGAGGCGCTGGGCCGTTTCGAGGAAGCCGAGGTGGATGCCAACCTGGCGCTGAAGGCGCGCAACATGAGGTTTTGTCACCACAAGTATGCGCGAAGCAAACGTGTATGACCAGGATCACTGTCCCAGTTTTCAGGAGATCGACCCACCTGTGTTTGTCGTACCTTCTTGAAGGGTGGCAAAGTGCAAACTTGCATTACATTAGTTTTAGAAATCGATGATGCTACTCCCTGATGGCCTGCCTTGACTTCACAGATTGAATGGGGTGTCGCGCTTGCAGCGCGCTGGAGATCCCACAAGGAGGCAAATCAAGACATCACTTGGACCAAGTCCACCATGCCATTCTCCAGACAGGAGGCTCTTCGCGAGAGCCTGATCGATGCCCTTCCAGATGAATCAATCAAACGTGGTTTCACCCAAAAATGCTCACAGGCAGCGCCCGGCAACGTCGGCATCCGTGCCGCGGCGGAGCGCCTGCGCCAGAGACGTGCCCCGGTGGCGCGTGGCTGGGTTGCGCGGCAGCCCTACCACACGGCGGCGGTGAAGAGCCTGGCAACTCGGCGGGATGACATTCATTGTTTTTCTCCAAGTGCATAGCAGTGCATAGAAAGCTGGAAGCTGGATGGGCTTTGGGGTCAGGTTTTTGTGGAAGAGCTTATGAGATGGCTTATCGCATATGGATGTTATGGATGGCCTGCATGTGATGATGTGGAAGCAGGAGTGCTTGAGTGCTTTGCTCTACTTGGCCTTTTTGT